AATAAAACGCATCTGTTTTATCTCATCAGTATCTTGTCAACTCCTTACAACTTGCTTAGTGAAAATTAACAAGAATCAACTGGTTCTGAGCTAAGTCGAAAGCAGTCCACTTCACACCAGTTGCTCCCCAAAAGAGCAGAAAAGCCGTTCAGTGTTTGGACCAAGTTAGTCAGGCTATCAAGTACTAATGGTTGACGTGAGTGGCATACAGCTATTCGACCCCATATATCAGTAGTATATAGTTTTATTACAACGTTAACTCAAAGAAGTCGAATTTTCTTGAAAAACGACGGGAAAGAGTTAAAACATGATAGTGGGCTACTCAAATTATAAGCTATTAGAAAATTTAAAAAAATCAGTGAAACATGCAACAAACGATTGCGAGTTAGGCCGATTTATTTAGTCACTAAACATATAAATTATGGCGCTTGATGAGAGACGAGGTAACCTATTATGAGTGAAATGTGTGCCTTACTTATGCCTAATTACAGATGATACAATCACTTGAGGTTGAGCATCAAGTTATCACTGTGGACAGAGACCGAACGCAGCTTCCTTTAAAATAAATTAGTCGGGTGTTTATTTGCCTCATAATGACTAAACCTTCGAATTTCACGAGGTGGGAACCTGCTGCTTATATACTTATTTACCTGTCATCTTGAGGGAATTCAAGACTTCTCCCTGACTTCTTCTAACAATCAGATTTTTAGTGAATAGCATACCCAAAGATCTGCTTACTTTTAGCCAAAAATATTTTACTGTGTACGGAGAATATAAGGTGAACCGTTCTTTCTGTCCTTCCAGTGTACAGACTTTATTGGTTAGACGTAGATTGGTATACACAGTAGGACCTAATAAAGAACTTTTGATTGAGCTAATATGTTGTTTGGTATACAGGAACCAGTCTAGTCACAGGAAATTTCCTAGCTAGGGATTTCCTTAGTCACCTGTTGGTTATTTCTGCAATATAACTACCTTTAAGTTGATGGAAGGATACAGGCTTTTTACTTACTGAATTTTGCATCTCCTTTCCAAACTGTCGATAACTCCCCACAGATATCCATCGTATCGTAGGCGCGTTTTTATGGTCAGCAACTCTATCTTCAGTCTGTCATTACAAGATTTAATTTCTGGCCTGTGAAGGATGTTATAACTAGTACCTACCTTTAGTTAATGTAAGTGTAGCACTTTGGCACTAAGGTAGGATGTAATTCCATATTAGACAAGTATATTTTAAATATCGCACTGTGATTCAGTATTAAAAACTGGATGACGTTTCAAGTATAAATTATTGCTTGTAATCATATCAATTTTGGTCACACGGCTTCACAATTTGTCTCATATGTATTTTCTCTCCTTCCTTCTCTCCAGGTTCATTTTGTCATCTGTTGACCCTTTCCATATTTCCAGTAGAGTCGTTGCGTCGTTCTGATTACACGTGTGCAGTGTTGGATCGCTGAAAAAGCCTTAGCGATTAACCTCTCTCTCACCCCCCCTAACTGTATTACGTTTTAATACTCTCACCTTGTCTCACCCTGTTTTGTGATTACATGAGAGTGAATACACAGTGCAGAGGATGGGATACTTTCTAGGTTATTTAATTCAGCAGGGTCAATTATTCTAGGCTTAGCTAAATTTTCATGTTCCAATAACCTAGCTGATCCCGATCTACATGTTTGACCCATGTAACTGACCTCACTCGCAGTCATTACATAGCATTCGGTAAATTATATTATATTTCTTGCAAATAATAATAATAATTCTTTTATTCCAAAACAGTACTTGTGATACAGAATGGAATTCTCAGCATTTCACTACAGTACTGCATCCAATTTGTACATTAACAATAAATAAAATTCTACATAGATTGAGGGTACTCTCAATTCGTTTTGACAACAACATATTAGCATGTCGGTAGCAAAGCCAAAACTGAACAAAGTGTTTGGAGGTGTCAGAAAAGTAGATGGTAGCATATTTGCTGGCCTAAGCGGTAGCAGAAAGGTCGAGATATACAAATTGTGAGAGAACGAAGAAGAATGTCTTAAGTAGAATTTGTAAGGAGGAGAGAAACAAAGCAGCAGATAACAGAAAAAAGAGAGAGAAAAGGAAAAGAGAGAAAGAAAACGCCGTACCTATAAATGATATGACTTGAAAAGACGAAATCCAGTTGTTCTACTGACTATTTAATAAGTTATAGGTATCATGCCTAATGCTTTCTTTATCGCACAGAACACGAGTTAAGTAGGGTATGGTTGAGTTTTCGTACTTGCTAGTGCGAGCATACAGTTTTCTATATAGGCTTCTGGCTTTGCCTGATGAGATACAAGGGGAGAGTTGTGAATGAAGAGGGTGGTGTGAGTTAGATAAAATGGATTTAGCCCATTTTTCACATGGGTCCATGTGCCTGTCAACCAGAATATTAACAAGCTGGTTGGTCAAGTTACAATAGAAAATAATAGGCAGAATACAGGAGTTAACGAATTGTAGGATTAAGGGTTGGGTTATACCAGAATGTCTTAACTGCTTAACTGGATCTGTAAAACTTCAGGCCTGGTTTAAATGACACCTTTGTTCCAGTCTCTATGAGATATACAACAAAATAAAGCTGGAGAGAGAAAAGGAGAGAAAATACATATGAGACAAATTGTAAAGCTGTGTGACTAAAATTGATATGATTATGAGTAGGCATAATTTATACTCGAAACGTCATCCAGTTGTTAACATTGCATCATCACTGTGCGATATTTAAAATAAACTTGACTAATATGGAATTACGTTTAGTTAACTCGAAAAAAAAGACGGTGAAAACAGAGAGCTAGTTTAATGTAATGCAATCAGAAATTAAGATTGAGGATTAAGACGAAGTGCTATATCATAGCGGAGAATATATGTACAGCAGTGTGATATCCAGTCATAGGTTAATGGATGTGTGTACTGCTCAGTATTTCTCCCTGTCCTTATTTATGTTTATGAGACATGGCCCATGAAAGTGGAAGATACCAAAAAAGCTAGCTGTCTTCAACAACAGATATTTACGTTATATTCTCCATGTTCAGCAGTAGAATATGTTGAGAAATATTGAGTTAAGGCGTTGAGTACTAGTTAGGAAAGGTAACTCAATCGATAAGTTTGTTAAGCTACACTTATTGAGATGGCTAAGATACTACTGATATAAGGATAAAATCTGAGCAATGTGGTACAGTGTAACTGTATTATGGATGAAATTTTTTTTGATGAAATCACGCAGTGTTATACAGTAATATTTACTGATGACGTTTCGATCACAAATTATTGCTCATAATAATATGAAGATACTCACACAACTTTCTTGCTTCATTTACATACATGAGTAAAAATTGATTCGACATTTGAATAAAATCATTATAAGACAAAGTACATTCAGAAATAATATTAGTGTTATCAATCAAATACAATCAGATGGAAAATAAGATGTCTTTTATAGTAAAAATAAGCAACTTTTTACAATGTTATGATGTGAATTGAATAACTAGAAGCTTGAAGTTTCTGTATTAGTGGTGATTATTTTACAGGACGGTGCTGTTAGCTTCATGCCCAACCTTTCGTCTTTACTAGCTTTATTTCTGGTTTAGCGAGGTAAATGAGTTTATTGGCCAAATATCAAACCCCGGACCATGTGCATGATAGGTGAGCGTCCAAACCTCTCTATTACCGATGCATGAATTGAATACATTTTGAAATTATTTATTATCCTCTGATTTGACTGGTAATAATCACTTCTATATCTCTAGTATTTCCTTTGAGTCATTACTGTTGCATGTGTTGGGTGTAGACGCGATGAAGCAGGATTCAGTAATCAATCTCCATCTCTCAACCTGCCTAATCAGTGTTTGTAATTTCCCATAGCTATTAAACCTTCGTGCTCCCCCCCATTTTACTGCTCTTTATCCTACATATTCCTACGAACTCTTTTCTTTCTCCCATTCCTCTACTTTTGTGTTGCATATAAACTGTGCAACCTGAACTACTACACTTATTTGTAAAATCCTATTTTGAAAATCACTCACTGAGTGCGGTTGTGAAACGGATATATTTATTTATTTTAGATTACACCTTGATTCCACACTGTATTTTTTTGGTACTAGTATGGAATTTTCAGCATGGATATCGGTAGCCCAAATTTTGCAAGCCGACCATAGATATCAGGTGTGTGTCGGCGTGGGATCGAACCTCGGACTATGTGCATGGTCGGCGAGAGTCCTAAACACTGTGCCACCGACGGTTGAACATAATTTCGTTAACTTAAGTTTTGGAAAATTCTACATAATATTACGGCATCTTGAATATTTCATAATACTCTGATTGTCTTGTACACCGTCGCATTAATATATTTTAAAGTCTTTTCATTTGGCTCTCAGTAAACATAGGGCTACAGAAGCACGTGTCGATTTTACTCCGTTCTCTGTGTTCTTCCTCCTAATGGCTGCATAATTTTCAGCCCTCATTTCTTCTCGACATGATCTTCTGCATATCATTCTTGGATGTTCACCTTGTTGCTTCACATTTGAACGCCAATTCATGATTTAGGGCCATAACGTCCCTTGAAAGTCTCCTTAGCATTTATGCATAATAAAAAAGTTATATGTAATAGACCGGTTGAAATATCAACTCTGAAAAGCTGCGATATCTAAAGCTAGTACATACATGTCAAATTCTTCATTCTCTTAAACTAGAGTTCTACTTCACTGAGTAAACTGAATAGTTTTGTTGTCAATTAATAGGACAAATCACACACAATATTTGATTAGAGGGCAGGTAGCTAGCTATTCAGGAAAAGTGTCAGGACTTTATCGACAAGTTCACACTTAATACAGAGTTAAAATCAAATATAGAAGACGTGAAAATAAATCCAAATAATTGATATGAAAGCTGTTCAATATTATTTCATTTTTCACACATACCTAATTGAGATAAAGTTTCAGTATAAATAGACTACGGTGTGTGTAGCTTAAACATACAGAGAGAAAGTGTATTCATCAGTTATAATGAAGGTAAAGCAGATTGATGTTTATTGGAAATCACCTGAAATGTATTCTATTCATTTTTAGTTTCTGTTGTCTGCTTGTCTATTCTACGCCTTCATATACCTTGGGACACCTGCCGCAGAAGGTAAGCAAAAGCTTTTTACCGTATACCTATCATCTCAATTATCGTACATTGAAATATATGTGTATGCCATCCGTTTATAAAAGACATATTCGTATAAGAATCTTGATCACTACTTCGTTTTGAAGGAAATTTAGTGTCTCATAGAAAATCCATGGCATTCAGAAGAAGAAATTCCAAATAGTAAGCAAGTGTCATTTCTATTTTGCTGTAAGTTCTGATTTCTCAGATGAAGGAACACGTGAAGGAATCCTAGAGGTGGCTAAAACTGTCTATGTCAAAACACTAGCACTAATAATTTTCAAAGCCCGAGTGATACACGCGAAATAGACATTTCTGAGTACAATTTAGTGCCATACATTTTTAGTATTGTAAGCAATTTTCATCTATGCACTAAGAGTCATTTGGCAAAAATGGAAACCTTGTTTCCATACCTTTTAAGGGTTTTTAAGTTTTGAAAAGGCTACCTGTATTTCGTGTGTGTGTGTGTGTTTGACAAATTTACCTTCGTTTAGCTAAGTCATATTTACCTTTCGGGGTCTAGTGACCAGCATTAAAGACATGAGTACTGTTCGATCATTTTGTAATGCAACGCATTGTATGAGTGTTTCGTTATTCACCTGAATTTTTGCTCCTAATAATTCCTTAAAGAACAGAAATTTGAATTAGATAAGGGAAGCATTTAGCATTCACTCACATTTTTCAAATTTCACATAGAATGACCTGATTAGGTAACAGAATGTAAGACAGAGCCACCTCATTATGATATAAAGGAAAGGCAAAATAATGTTTAAACTGTGAATTTCATTAGTTTTCCATATTCTTTAACCAATGTGATCTCCATTCAAACTCTTTTGTTAACAATGAGTATTCAAGCTGTGACATTTCGCAGTTACAACGAAAGATAATGTTTATAGAATAACATCAAAACTTGACCCGATGGAATGCAAAAAATAATGAAATTATCGAAAATAAGACGGCATACATATAAGGACTGCTGTGGCTGCTTCATCAGCTATATCAACATGTCTCCGGCCAGTATTTTGTAACGCCATACACTAAGTTATGTTTTCTTAAATAAAACGAGTAGTCAGCTGTTGACTATCAGAGATTCTTCCCTATATTTCACAGCAAACTCTTTTTTAATTCATCGAGAATCTTCATTCGAATAAAGTGAATGTACACACATACAAAATAAAAAATAAGTATTTACGATTGTCAGCGATACTCAAAATTTTCAATTAATAGTCATAGATAACTTTCACAGTTATCCAGAATTCCATGGAAGAATGATTAACGACTTTTATATTCACATCTTGCACACGTTTTCTCCAAGTCTGATCATATTCAATAAAAAAGTTTACAATTATAGGACCGATAGGTAGTTTTAATTTGTCATGAATACATGGATAAGTTTCACCTAATGCAAAATTATTATACCATTATATAGGTAAAGCTCCAAAAGTAAGAAAGAATGGAACGCATATAATCACAGGTGAGAATTTACAATTGATATCTTCCACTGATTAGACTGGAGTGGGTGGCAAACAGTAAAGGAGTACAATATTTCAGAGTCTGGAGGAAAAAGAGAGAAGAAGTTTGCATTCACCCTACCACCAGGTAAATGAAATAAAACACAATAGTTTGTAAACTTTTCACTTTTATTCACCACTTACTGACAAACTTGTAAGTAGTTAAACTGTTTACTAAAAATTATGCTTGTACCTTGCCTCAAGTATTTAGTCTAAGTTAAATAGTTTGACAGATTAAATTACGATAAGCTCACTGTTCACAGGCTTTGTGTCAAACATTTTACCGTTCATTTATTATGCCTAGATCTACAGGTGAATATTTTAATGCTTGTAAACTGCTTTATATAAATTGATAATAATAATTCTTATCATTAATACTTTGCGTTTCAAGTGGAGCATAGGGTATTAATAACACATGTCTATCTCCTCCTATTTCTTATCCTGACATTTTCAAATCTATGGAATCCTCAGACTCACACCAAACTAATCGTTCCACTGGAGCGTCCGCATGACGCTCGTTGATGTTTTTCAAGGATCTGTGCAGCATGTGTCCTATCCAACTGCATCTCCTTAGACATATGTATTGAGCATCTTATAGCATAATGAAAATATACTTCCATTACGTAACTAGTCTCACACCAAAGCTTATCAATACGCTTGATCATTACTTGCCAAAACCATCTTTAAGCTTATCATGCTTAACCAGTAGGTATCAAATACCATGAACCATAAGGGACAAAATTAGTACAAAAAAAAATTAAACTTTCACATTTACTCATATTAAAAATCTTTCTTCTTTATTATTCTAGGAGACGGATGGGAAGTTATGACCGAGTTCAAAACAGATGAAGTTGTTATACCACGTAGTCAGAAGGTCACCAAACGTCCTGCTAAAAAGGGTAATTTGTTTGAGCCTCTTTTGATTTAAATGCATATATATATGTATCAGTGATGTACTTAATTTACGAAATGTTTATTGCAAGGAAATGAAAGACCAAAGATTACTTTATAATATCCTGTTATTTTATGAAATCACCCAGTGTTAATTGCTCACAATTCTTGGAGGGACATACTGTATGAAAATGTGAGGTCACATCACCTGTATGTCATCCACTTTTAATCTGTTTGGCATCTAGTGACAGACTATTTCAAAACTTTCAGCCGTTCAGCTAAGGAAACATTACCTGCGACGACTGATCTAACAAACTACTGTTGCATGTCAGTAGCAAACTCTCGGCAGTTCAGCGATTAATGCTTCAGAATGACTTATTCATTCCAGTCATATTTTAATCCCAAATCCTAAAGATAATTCTCCCTCTTGACGGAAAATATTTCCGGAACAATTTTGTAAGTAATCTAGTGGATGAATAAATTTTTTTATCTGTGGTTCGTTTAATCAGCCTACTTTTCAAATGACTGTCTAGCTGACTCAAAAATATCATCCTAAACAGTCACATTGTGTCTAATTAAGATTTCAGGATATCGTTACCCATTTCAAATAACAAAATGACGTAATGTCATGATGTTCCGTTCATTTTGATAATATAAACATTGTGTAGATCACTAGCTGGAAAAGATATAATGTTCAGTGTGAGGTTGACAACTTCAGCAGCCTTAAAAATGAAACAATCTCAGCTGAAAGTTTCCTGCTTGAAGATATGTGTTGCACCCTGATTTCGGTTACTATGCTGTGTGGATTTTCGTAAGCATTTTGACGAACTTATGTTTATGCGAATATATAAATTTTTGTTTCTCATCATGGCGTACAACTCAAACAAACCATATACCTTTTCAGAAAGGTATAAACACAGTCAACTAAAGAAGAATTTTCCGAAATTCTTATTAGTTTTCAGTCAGATAGCACTTAAATGTGAAGAGTCATGGGAAATATAAGTTGTTTTACAAGTTACTTATATATTTCTATTTTTCCTTATTCTGCTGGGTATGCATAACAGCTGAGAAGCCAAAACCAAAATCACGTAAGTCTTTAAAAAATTTTAGAGTTTAGCCTTATTTGTATACGAATTTCAGTGAAACTAGAGCCGATGTCATGCTAATATAGTTCGATTGATCCACACTAATTTACGTTTCAGAAATGTTTGTTTTCAGTGAACTGACTGATTTCAAGTTACATCACGAGGCGATATAATTAGCGAACCATTACAAACCAGGGAATATAAGAAATCTGTTTAGCTGTCGTCTGAGACGCTTCATCACTTTGCAACTATAACTCCAGCAGTTCACTTGAGAAACTGTCACAGGTTAGGCATAATTGACCCCTGGATACCATCCTGGGGGTTAAATGGCCATGAGATTCACCTTGCAACCTAACACTCCTGGATTCGGTCTTTAATTGAGGCGAAGAGACCCAAACTAGGATGAAACGGCTTCCTAGTGGATCATGGCTTTCCGTGGTTCTCTAATCTATTTCATTTCGACAACTAGCTCTATAATCCATTCTAAATCACCTTGATGGGATATTAAAATCCAGAAAAGTGTTTTGCTTGACAGTTTCAAGGGAAGGTTTTCTATCCTTAACTCATTGTGATCGGAGCTATTTAAAGAGTGTCCACATCTTGCCCATTACAGGAGAAACCAGAAGCTTTTCCTACAACACCAATAAAACTATGAATATCTACTTTAAAACTGCTAATTATGGGCGAAAAATGGGCTAAATCCATTCTATCTAGCTCACACCACCCTCTTCATTCACAACTCTCCCCTTGTATCTCATCAGGCAAAGCCAAAAGCCTATATAGAAAACTGTATGCTCGCACTAGCAAGTACGAAAACTCAACCATACCCTACTTAGCTCGTGTTCTGTGCGATAAAGAAAGCATTAGGCATGATACCTATAACTTATTAAATAGTCAGTAGAACAACTGGATCTCGTCTTTCCAACTCACATCATTTATAGTTACAACGTTTTTTCTCTCTTCATTCTGTATTTATTTTGTTATGTGCTGCTTTGTTTCTCTCTTCCTTGCAAACTCTACTTAAAACATTCTTGTTCGTTCTTTCACACTTTGTATATCTCGACCATTTTGCTATCGCTTATGCCTGTAAATATGCTAGTAGTATCTACTCTCTAAACACCTTCGAACACTTTAAATTTTGGCTTTGCTACCGACATGCTAATATGTTGTTGTCAAAACTGACTGAGATAAATTTAATCTATGTAGAACTATATTTATTGTTAATGTACTAACTGGATGCAATATTGTAGTAAAATGCTGAGAATTCCATTCTGTATCACAAGTACTGATTTGGAATAAAGCTTATCTTATCTTATCTTAAGTAGTTATCTTAAGTAAGGACGATACCCTGAATTCCATTTGATTCTCGCCTGTTTAATGTACTAACTTAGAATATATTAGTGGAATTTGAAGCTATAAAATTAACATTTTCATGTGTTTTTAATACGTTACAGAATTTCATTAGCCAAGGTGTTTGCTATTCATTGAAATATAAATTCATTTCACAGTCAATTTCTGCAAACATGAGGTTAATTTCTGAGGAAAAAATATTTTTCCGTTATGAGATTTGTGAGAGTTTACATTAATTTAATTCCAGTTATTGGCTGCAGAGACTATTGGAAATCAGGAAGCACTGTACAGCTGTTTCTTTACATTTTGGGACTCCTCATCAGTGCAGATCCAAAATCATACCAGGGAACGAACCCAGGACATTCATTACCTAAATATTAATCTTTTGCTCACTGACGGCTACTAGTGACCAATAGGGTTTATCATGTACGCTTGAAGTGAATGGTTGTCGGAGGTACTTGTGAGGGTAGTGATAAATCCCGAGGTGGGAAACTAAGAATTCACGAGTGTTCAATCCCTTTCTACGCAAATGGATGGTCAACGAACTAGACCTCAGCAAACTTGATGGTTCCGGCCGGTCCGCGTGTATGCACTGGTGAAGACTTCTAACTTTTCAGTGCTTCCTGGTTTTCAGCGAGATCTCTAACTCATGTCACTTCCTGGCGAAGTCTAACAATTGAAATCTAAAAAAGTATTGCATATAATTTAAATTCAGATACTTAAGAAGAATAATTGAATGCCTCATTGTGTTTATTCACTAAATGTCAGGTGGTGAAGAAATTGATGAAGACAAATCGAAAGCAGAAGTTCATGTGGTTAGAAGAATCAGAGTTAACAGGAATAAAAAACGTAAGTAATTCAGTAGACAGACCATTTTTACATTGAAATTTTGTCAATTTATGTCAATAACTCGGAATCAAATAAAGTTTGAACGTTTTACTTAGCGTTAAATTTAGCTAGATGTAAACAAAAGTCACACACCTATTCACAATTTTAATTTACTTTCATTCTTTTCTGTTTTAACTTAACCATAGGACTCAATTATTGAGTTTCGAGCCTTTACAGGGTAGGATAGCTAATCTTACGCCAAACCTTATCTCTTTAATGGGCTTCGTGCCAGCCAAACAAAATTTCAGAGTGCGCCAGTCGGGATATGATCCTGGAAAACATATTTAGTTGGCGAGTATTCCACTAGTGAACCACCGATCTATATATATATATATATATATATATATATATATATATATATATATATTCGAATACATCAGTTCTAATGAGACTGACATGAAATTTACGTACGTACACCTGTACATCCTCTGTGATATTAATTATAGTTTATAGAATCTGATAGAATGAATCCTACAGAAAAAAATCATTCAAAGAAGAATATTTCCGTCCTTCTAAGGGTACTTGATTGTTTAAGGATGAAATACACCAAGTCATCTATATCAATAAAGCGAATCAAAAGGATGTAAGAAGTGTCGGACAAAGACAATTAGATATACGTTTAGATTTACTCAGCTTATCATCGTGTGTAAATATGTGAAGCATACTTATAATTATGTAATTCAATTTTAGGTTTTCCCGTCGGTTGATTGGATTGAAGTGCTCGGTCGAGAACTTCGGTCCAATTCAACAATTAATATGATCCGTTGCACAAGAGATGGCTCTCGGTTTTTGGTACTGACAGACACTCACTAGGAGCATTTAATTCTCCGAAACAATAAACATGGAAACTTTAAAAAAAAACCTTTTTCAATCACTTTTAATTTCCAGAAGGTAAACCAGAGGAGCCAAAGAAAGAGGCACCAAAAAAGAAAAAAGCACAAAAGAAACCTCCAGTGAACGAGGATGGCGAAGAAGGTGCACTGTAAACTATGAAAGAATTTCAAAACGAATAAAAGTTTACTCCTGTTGAGAGTTAAACATTTTTTATTTTATTATTTCATTCCTTTGCGTTTTCTGATTGGAACATCAGACTGCAGGCTTGGGCTTTAAAGTTTTGGTAACAGTGGGGTTTAGTTTTATATGCGGTGATCTTGTGAGCCTCACAATCCATCTTTCTCCTTTATCAGGCTTAATATCGGCTAAGTGAGGTTTAGGAGTACATTGGTTGCCGGAGATGAAAACCCAGACGATGTGAGTTGTTGATGAGTATCCTAATAGTAGACCACAAACGTGCAACATTTACGCATCGGTCTCTGCCTACTTTTTGTAACCTGTATGGTGAAGTAATATAAGAAAAAAAGGCGTCGAACTTCTCATTAAAAAAAAACTCACACTGGCTATGAATAATTCTATTTATTGGCCTAAAATGTGGTAGGATAAATAAACTGAAGAGCATTATCATTATGGCGGATAAACCCAACCTAAGAAAATTCGTGTACTTATAAGTTGATGTCAGTAAGTACTATAATCATTTCTTGTGTATCGTGTCGAAATGTTCTCTCAGTTAAAAGTCTGCAAAAAAATACTCTATTTCTCAAATTTTTAAGGATTTATAAAAAACAAAACAATGAAAGAATGTTTCAAAATGTGCGTATTTTTAAGTTACTATCAATGTCTTTTGTTACGAGGGGAACATAAGGATTCACCAGTAAATTTCCGTTTCACTCGGATCTCCTTCGTCACAATTTTTGTTAGATAAACAGCTCTTTACAAGTTTTTATTGCATCTACATACAGTTGCATCCATGTCACCCTTAGATGCCCAGCATATCACTTCTTATTCAGCGATATCATGATAGATTACAGCAGTTCTACTTATTCTGCACATTTCAGTTTTATGCCTATCTGAATACTTCTTAAGGATATCAGTTTGAGTGCTTTAACTACATTCAAGAAATTGGCATCAACGTGTAAGTATTTATAGGTGCGAAAATCTGATATGATTTTATTTTGAACATTGAGTTATAGAGGAGTTTGAAATATGAGTACACCGGTGAAATTACCGAATTTGAAAGGACGGTTAAGGTATGTAGGCTTGTTAGAACTCACATACTCAAATGCAGAGACTACAGTCGTCACTTGTGCTGAAGTAGGCAGAATAGTATTCAAGTTTAGTAAACAACTGGTTGAGGCTCAAATATTTCCACCATTTTCGAAGCATGTCACTGTGTGGTGACACAGTGACACAATCTCTGCTTTACTGCAACTTTACCATTACATCTAGACAGTTTGACAAAGATATTGTCACATTAAATAGATTTAATAATATTTGAGAACAATTTACTGAAATTATATTTTTAGATGGTGATTGGGAAACTGTACAAGAATCTGAAAGAGATATTCACATTGGAAGAAGGAAGAAAGGTGGTTAATTTTATCTAAATATTTTAATCAATATACACACTATTATTTTATACAACTGTTTAAGGAGAATACAGTCTCCATAGTTCTCACTGTGCGTTTAAGTAATCAATCAGTTTTTACTTTGCGTTAGGTATTTACCATAGCGACGGATAGAATTATATGTTTACATGATTGTTTTCTGGTTGATATGTATGCGCTAAATTCAAAGACTTCGTGTTGTTGTATATCAGATGCCTGAACATACAACTGGCGTATAACTACTGATTCAGTTTCCATATACTAGTTATTTCATTCTAGAGGCTGCCAACGACAGAGTTCACAACATTTTCGATTGGAAACGGGATGATAACTAATGTCGGACCCAAATATCTTTTACTGTCCTGCATGAGGTAAATCATGAGCCTAAATAGCTCAGTGGCAACATCTCTGATTGTAGTACTCAGTCACCCGGGTTCGGATCTCAGAAGGGACATGGGTCCCTTTAAGATTCCATATATGCCTGGCAGACGATTGGCGATGGACATGAAACTTAGGTCAAGCAAGGCTTCCTGCCGATCACCTCTAAAAATCTACAAAAGGCTCAGTAGGCACAATTATTTCTCAACAACAGTGCACATAACGATAAATGGCATGTATGACTGGCAGTTAAAAAACTGCCATCCACTGGGTTACAGGTACATTCAGCCAGCTAGCCGAGAAGAGGATGAACTAAGCATTGAGATGAATTCAGTTACTGATTATTCCCCCAAAGGAATCAAATATTTATAGCTCTGGAACAAAATCTTTTTGTTTAACCTCGTACAAATTTTGTTTTTAAAATCACTTAGGTGAGAAAAATTGGAAAAAATCAAGCCGTTATGAAAAGGAAGTCCGTACTCGATCAAAGAAGAGAGGAGAAAATGTTGAGAAATTCGAAGAAGGTAATGCAATCTGAGAGATTTAATATTTTCATCTTATTTTTAAATCATGTTTAGCTTTGAAAAGATTCTGAGGGATTTGCACTAAATAGTACCATTGCCAGCTTGCATTCCATCTAGCACTAGTTAAAAGTTTATACTGATGGTAGACTACATGTTTTAATCATACACATCATGGTCGGGATTCAGGTGTAGGTGGATATACTTGGTAGATATCCTGCAGCTGTTCTGAGGAATCATGACCAGCAGGATCAAGCACGTCAAGGTGAAGTGGCTGGTCATCGAAGGCATTGATGAGGTTAGTGATGTAGCATTGATTAACAAAGTTAAAACTCATGGGGCACTAAGTCGCTATCCAAGTGGCCGAAAGATTAGCGAACTTGGTCTCGTACCTGAAGGTTCCAGGTTCGATCATTATATCGCTGACTGTTTCTTAGAGCATAAATAGTTCTAGCACCGTTCCCATTTTCAGTATGATCAAAAAATGGCCTCGGTTGGGGAACCGTTTAAAACCAAGGAGTTCTGAGCATCTGTCTGGTCCAGCTTTAGGACTATTCCATTTTTTAATTTTTAATTTTTTTATTTACAGCTTGATTCCACACTGTACTTTTGGTACAGGTATGGAATTTTCAGCATGTGATATCGGTATCCCAAATTTTGCCGACCTACCATAGAAATCAGGTGTGTGTCGGCAAGGGATCGAACCTCGGACCATGTGTATGGTCGGCGAGAGTCCTAACCACTGTGCCACCGACGCACAGTACGTATAAAGGATCTATGAACTTCGGGTTACAAGATTAGTCACTGGAACAGAATCTGACTTGCCATAAATTGTTATTTCTGCCAATATAGTTGGCATTTGTTACCTGATGGTCTTAGATGTCGTCCTTGATGAGGTTGCGGTTGCATTTCTCAGAAGACTACCTAACTACGATGAAACATCTGGCCATTACTCTCAGGTTTCCACCCCCTTTCTAACCGAAGTTAGTTAGTGACCAGAAGCAAAATTAGTCTAATCCCAGTGAACTAACACTTGACAATTTTCGTCGAAAAATTGAGATAAGGAATGCTTTTTACAGCTTAAAATAATTAATAATTTTTCCTTCACGTCCTTAGTGGAACATAGGGCTCCAAGCTAGTGGCTTGAAGTTTCTGTAGCAGTGTTTAATTTTCACAGGATGGGGTTGCTAGCCTCATGCCCAACCTTTCCTCTTTACCAGCATTATTTCTGGCTCAGTGAGGTAAAGGAGTGCGTCGGGCGGAGATCGAACCCTGGACCATATGCATGGTCGGCGAGCGTGCTAACCGCTATACCACCGATGCACTTTTGCAGCTTAGAAAATTGTAAAATTTTTCATATCTTGTACCCAATATCTTATGAGGTTGCGATTCTGCACAACAGCTAAAGAGTCCTAATACCGAATGAAAAGAATCATTGATAGAGTTCACTTTTCAATATTCTGCAGGCATAAAACATTCCTTTACAAAACTATATTTCGTTATTCTGGTCACCTGCATTATTCAAATACCTAAATAATTAGCATAATGATAAAAAATTTCCATTTTCACTTTCCTTTTTTATTGCAATCAGGTGACGCTGATCCAGAACTTATAGATGTTGTCTCAAAAGCATTTGATAAGAAGAAAAATTAGAGAGAAACATATCGATGGGAAAATACAAATTTACTAATAACTAATTTCTGAGATGTATTTTCATACTTAAAATAAATCTATAATGGATGCCATAAAAATAACTCCTTTAGTTTGTTTCTAGTTCAAGAGTGTACTGGAAAGTATTCCAATGTGGTTGATTCGCCACATTCCTTCCGTTTTATTACTTCGAGTAGAACTGCTTTACTTGAAATGATCCGGATTATTTTGTGACTTAGTTAAGTATATTCGACTATTCACTATTTAGAAGGATCTACGTCTTCTTTATTCGGCCGTAATTTACCAGATGATAAATAATTTTAAAACTCAACTGCGAAAATTCCATGGGCATTTATTCACACAAATTATTCCCCAAATACGGTTAATCAGAGAGCTTCGATTAAGTACAAAGTAAAGAATCCCTGTACGTCAGCGTCACAGCGGTAGAATGCTCGCCAACTACGTACGTGGCTGGGGTTCAATCCCCGGCCAACGTACTCGTTTACCTAGCTAAGCCAGTAATAAGACTAGTAAAGAGGGAAGGTTGGGCATGAGGCTATTAAACCCATCCTGTAAAAACAAACACCACCGCTATTGAGACTTCATGCCTCGAGCTTGAAGCCCTGTGTGTTCCACTGGGGACGTAAAAGAATAAAAATGACAAGGCGAAAAATAACTTGCCCACATTATTACCTATCCGACTCATCTGTATTGCTGAAGATTTGACCATCGAAACGGAAAAGCCAGAACTCTGTATACAGAAAAAGTTCTTCCAACCCCTGCAACTTTCATGGTCTGAATCAATCTATGCTAAAGTATGGTAATCCATAATCTCTTTTGGGTTCTACCAGTTTTTTTTCGTTTTGTTTATTGAGTTCATATACTTTCCCTTCATTACGTCAATTATTACTACTAATATTCGCACTCTGAATTGTCCCTGGTGTTATTTCATTCGTTCCATTTGTCATTCTAAATCAATTTTATTCTGCAACGTTAAATTTACATGTCAAATTTCACGCAATGTTACGTAATGTTTTTATTTTCATTCTGTTTGCCTCCTAATCCTATAACTGCACACTCTTTCCAAGTTCCGTTCATGCTATTAATTATTCTGTGTATATGACATTAATTTTTTTGTAACTTGACATTTCTGGTTTTCGCAGAAAATGCATGATACGTAACGTGTGACAGAGTAATTGTGTTTAGTAGTAATAGCATAAAATCTAATGTAATTACTCTTATATATTCTAGGAATATATATGGAAATAACCGTGAAAATGTCATCCATATAACTTCCACATATCATTTGGAGTAGGACTATATACATATACATATATATATATATATATATATTTACCCAGACACCCATAAAGATATCTTCTACGACTGAAGATATTCGTGCTCTGATAGCTATACTTTCTGTTTTAAATTTATTTCGGGGTGAACTTTAAAGATAGTAGTCAGTTTGGCTAAATGTAGAATGACTGACCCTGCGATGATGAGTAATTTGTAAAAAAAAACAACACGGTAGTTGCAGTGTGTGTATTAAAACACAACCACACAATAGGGTGTAAAATAGCTAAAATTAGAAATAGTAGTATAGCTTAGTGAAGAGACAGGTTGATTACTGAATCTTTGTTCATTGAATATGCATTTAACAAATGCAATAGATATAGCTCTGATATGCGGTCAGATGTAAACAATCAGATGTCACATGTTTATAGTAGGATGGTATTCAAGGTCATTCCAGATATTTTCTTTCATGCCTCCATCCTTGGCCAGATATGCCCATACATATAAATTTTATTCCTTTGGTAAACTGACTTATATACTCATAAGGATACTGTTAAACATACTTGCCGTGTTAAGTCCACTGTGTTCTCTTTATTAAGGACCCAGTTAAACTTTAAGCACCAGTGTGTATCAATGAAGAGCGACCACACCAATGACCTTGAAACATTCAATGAGCTAGTGGGAAATCGTAAACATTATCGTAATCGTGAATAAAATATGCCTAATGAAGTGTTATATTGCGGTGGAAGCTGTCTGCAAGCCAAAATTGTAGATAACAATTTACATCAATATCCACGTCCTGAATCAGAGTTATGGAAAAAAAACAATAACAAGATTTGATCTTCAGATACTCACTAATCAATCACAGAAGACTTAGCGTCTACAAATACGATTCGCAGATATATGGCCTAACTTTCTAAGAAACGGTCGCAAGCAGTACAGAATAACCTTTAGCAAGAAAACAACCAGTCATAAGACGTTGCTTCTCGGCCGGCAATAACACCAATAATAATGGACATAAAAGTCTATAAATGTTTGTAGATTTTCTCAAAAAACGATCTGTCGTTTGGCCCTTCTGTCGTAACAATATTATTAGATGGGATATCTGGAAAGTTAGGCTTGGGAAAGATGAAGTTAGGGTTATGTCTAAGGACATGTTAAGGCTAGGTTTTCATGATGAGAGGGACGTTAGTGTTGGTTTGAGTTGGACTGAGGTTAATGAAAGCAAAACACGTAGTTCAGCGAAGAGTCTACATGTTTTGTTTTTAGTGATGTCTGGATGGCGCTTAGCTTGGGGATATTTTCCTGGTAAGGTTAGTTTAGGGATATATTAGGGTTATTGTTAGAATTAGAAGACCTAGATAATTATATGTATAGAATATGGTTAATTTACTCTAATGATACTGCAGTCCAAAACTGGGCGGTGTTTTTTGTCATACGTCAGGAAAAGTTCCATGCTTTTCGATTCGTTATTTTCATGAATACATGTATTTCATTCTCAGGAAGTGTCTTTATCATACGGTTAGTGCATTCAAAGTTATTCGTCTGCTGGTAAATACTGGTGCTCAATTATTCCGGAGGTGTTTAAATATGGGGGTGACATACTAGTTTGTAGATTAACTGAGGTACTAGGCAAAGTCTGGGAATCAGAGACAGTACCATCAGACTGGGGTAAGTCACTCATTATACCGATATTCAAGAAGGGAAACAAGTCCTCGTGTGATAATCATAGGGGGATCAGCCTAACGAACATAGTCTCTAAAATCCTAGGCTCAGTAATCATGCATAGACTAAGCAGAACTCGGGAGGAACAGACAAGGGAAAATCAAGCAGGCTTTAGACCAGGTAGAGGGTGCATAGATCATATCTTCACTCTTCGACAGATTCTAGAACATAGACACACTTTTCGGCGTCCAACAATTGTCATATTTCTTGACTTGAAGGCGGCCTTCGACTCCGTGGACCGAAAAGTACTATGGCAATGTCTGACTGTGAAGGGAGTGCCAAGAAAGTACATTGCACTAATCAAGGCACTCTATTCAAACTCACGTAGTCGTGTAAGGGCTTATGGGGAATTGTCATCTGAATTAGTAACAACCAGTGGTGTCCGACAGGGATGTCCACTTTCCCCATTTCTGTTTAACTTCATCATAGATATGCTAATGGAAGTATCCTTAACTGAACGTAGTGACTTAGGAATCGACTTGTTACCAGGGAATAATCTAATGGACTTAGAATATGCAGATGACATAGTCCTGTTAGGGGAGGATGCTGACAAAATGCAGAGTCTTCTGAACACCTTGAGCAGCAATCTTCGTATGTTTGGCATGCGATTCGCCCCTGCAAAATGTAAGATGCTGCTACAGGACTGGACGCCGTCAACCCCTAACTTAGTGATAGGGAGTGAAGTGATAGAACATGTTGACCACTTCACCTACTTGGGAAGTTGTATTAGCACCAACGGACTGATTGGCGATGAAATCTCAGCACGGATCCGAAAAGCTCGAGCTGCTTTCGCTGACTTACACCATCTCTGGCGTAGGCGTGACATCCGGTTATCAACCAAGGGACGTGTGTACTGCTCATCAGTTCGCTCCGTCCTTCTCTATGGCTCTGAAACATGGCCAATACGCGTTGAAGACATGAAAAGGTTGACTGCTTTCGATCATAGATGTCTGCGATCTCTGTCTCACGTTAGGTGGTTTCACAAGATAAGTAATGTTGACGTTAGGCGTAGAGTGTTGGGCAAAGAGGGAAAATCAATCGACGAGGTTATAAAGTTACATAGACTAAGATGGCTAGGTCACGTGGTGCGCATGCCTAACCACCGCCTCCCCCGACGGGCATTGTTAGCTGATATAGGTTCAGGTTGGAAAAGAGCCAGTGGTGGCCAAACAAAAACATGGCATCAATCCATGAAATCCTTGACAGTTAAACTGAGTCAGGTAGGGAGATGCAGACTCCCGGGTTGGGGCCCTCGGGACTCTAGGAATCAATGGCTGGAGACAATAGGTGACATGGCTCAAAATCGTTGTCAATGGCGCAGATGTATTCAATCTCTGTAATCTTTCATATTCCTTTCTACCATTACCCATTCTGTTTCACTCCTATATTTGTCAAACTCTATTAATTCTCTCCACTCATCTTCTTGTCTACCTCTGTGTGCTATTTGGAACGTGGCAACTCGAACTGCTGCACTTCGGTGCCAAGTTCTATGTTGAATCCAGACAGACAGACAGGTGCTCAAAGTTTAAATTTGCCCGATTAAGTAGAGTGGCCTTGGGGAAATTACTGAGCTGGCATATCGGGTGACTGCAAACTATAGTGGCGCGAGACGAAACTACCTGATGAAGGCCTTAACAAATCGCTACCGGCCAATCAGGTACGCCCGGAGTAAAAGTGAGTAATTTGAAGAAAGCGCCTATAAATAAGTATAGCAATGTCAAAAATCATTACATAAGGTAACTTTCTGGTATATGTTTCAATAAAACCTCCCAATTTCTTATAGAAGTACCTATAGGTAGGTTAAAGCAACTTGTGTACATAAATTCGTCGAGATAACTGTAAATAAGTGTTTCTTGACCTATTCACTGCTTTGATCCTCTTTTAAGGTGACTGCAGCAACTTTCGATGGAATTTTTGTCAGTCCCACTGAAAGGACTAAAGAAATCGTCCATATGATGATTGACCACATTGTAAATGTCTCCAGAGAAAACAGTTGGCTCTTTGTCATGAAATTCTTCCAAAAGAAATTCAAGACGATAATCGAATGATTATGACGTTGATTGACGCTTTA